TTGTGCCTGGCTTCTTCCACTCAGTATAATGTTTCTGAGATTGATCCATCCAGTGATCCAATTTATTTATCCTAGTATTTTGTCCACCCATATTATTTTCCACAAATTATGCAAAGGTAAATTTTAGCCCAATTTATCCCAGTTATCACAATGGATAAATTATTGATCTTTGAATTTGATAAACAAGTTTTTATTATTTGAGTATGCTTTCTGCTTTCTGGTGAGTTTTCCTTAAGATCCATAGGGAATTATGAAAGAAGAGTTTTTTTAAGCAAAATCTTAACTGTATGAAAACAAAAATACAGGATTTGTGATTAATGTGGAAAATATAACTTTCAGAGATTGACATTTTAGTAATTAGATAAATCTCTGGGATCTAATTGAGAATTTTATGACTCATGTCTAAGCATATAAACAAGTATAAAGTATATAATAAATGCTCCTTATTGTAATGTTTTTCTAGGCATTTGTAAATTAGAGAAAATGAGATTTTAAGAACTGGTTTTCCTTCTTTCTTTCTACTTAATAATGAAACAGAATATGGCTACTACTTGCTCCTCAAGTAGGTAATTAGTTTAGCATGTTCAGTATAGGCAGGCAAGTTTGATTAATGCTCATGAAAAACTTTAATGTGAACCTACTCACAATAATTTTCCAGATAAATGCTTCTTTAGTACACTGTTAAATTTGTCTGTGCTAGCAATCCATATGTTATTTATGATTGCAGAGGTGATTCTGTTACTATCCTTTTGGGAAATGGAAAATTAAATCATGATTTGAGGGAAAAATAGGATTCCGGCTTAATCAGTTAAATTGCCATATAATTCTGGAATAGACAAAATAATTGCATGTCAGGCAAAATTTGAAGTGATAGATTTGTATTTCCAACTTTTTATTTGTTCTGACACAAATAAGTTTGGTTTATTCTAAATTGCACTGGTTGTCAGTAGTGTTCACACACAATCTTAGGTGATTTTTTTAAATTAGCTAATTAAGAAAATCACAGATTTATATTTACTATTATGTTTAAGAACAAATCAAGAAAAGTACTGTATTTTAAAATTTTAATTATGACTTCAGCTCTACAGGAATTTTTCATTATTCTGTTTTGTTAATTAAAAAATCAGAGTGAATGTTACTATGTGGTATCCTGTTTTGCTCAGATCCATCAAAGCTTTTTCTTAGAATTAGGCCTTTAAGTATCTGATTAGGACCATTCCTGTTTACTTTGGATAGGCAGTAGTAAAAGAAAAGGCTTTCTGTTCTTGGTAAGTCCTTGTGAAAGTGAATTTATCAACTGGATAATAGGTGTAATAACACACCCCACATCCTTTGGTCATCTTGGGAAATTATGAAAAGGCAGAGTTGTAAATGTTGTGTTGTTATTTACCATATTTTGTAATTATGAATTGTATACTTAACATTTGAATTCCTTGAATTAGTAATGTTTTGTGAAAGGTAAAGTGATCTTGATTCTTATGAGAAGCTTTTCTCTTCCCCTAGCATTTCTTCTAGAAATCCCCTTTATTTACTCTATCAAATCAAGATTCAACCGTAGAAGCTAATGGTTTAGGAAGTAGGAGAATCATAATGTTAACCTGCAGCCAGAAAGGTCAGAGGCAGGTTACCAATTCCTGAAGTCTGTTGCTTCTGTGATTTTACCTGTGCTTGATCACTTAATCTTTCTCAACAGGTCATGAGAAGTTTGCCAAATTAAGTTAATTACAAAAGAGAAGGAACACATCATAAATCAAGTGCTAAGTGCTTAAGACAGCATTGGTATTTGCAGGGAAGATCAGTCACTTGAAAATGTTTTGAGTGCTTAGATGTTAATTTGAAAATACTATATTTTGGTAATAGCAAATGTTAATACTTTAACCAGGGGCACAGGGAATATAGATATCTATATAATAAACCTTCTCTTACCCCCACAAGGAACATTTATTTAGTAAATCTGTAGTATTCAGTGACTGATAAATGATGAGAATTGTCAGTCTAGTTAGAAAACCCATTTTAAAATCATCATGGGATATTCAACAGTGTTTCCCATACTGATTATGTGCACTATATTGAATTTAATATGCCATGAATTTGCTTTTAAATATGCAGTGATACCATTTTTGATCCATTGTATTTTGTTTTCATTATAAAATCCAGTCCCAATTTGGTTTTATAAAGTAAATGACAACTTCACAAACTAGAAATGCATATTTTAAAACATGTTTACATCATTTTAATATGTAGCAGAGTTTTATTTGACAACTCTTTACTGCAGAAACATGTCTTGTCAACTAATTACAGAAAAATTTTAAAGATTGTGACTTTAAATAATTTTAGAGATGTCTTGCAACTTTAAAATATTTACTAGAAATTACATTTATATTTTACTTTTGTTGAAATTATAAATACTTGTTTAGAGGCCTGAGAAGTAGAAATGGTTCACATTTCTATAGAAATATAAATTTCACTTATAAATTATGCTTCTTATTTCATAAAAATTTTCTGGTCAAAAGAGGATAATTTTACTTTTTTAATTTTTTTTTTATTTTTTTAATTAACATAATGTATTATTTATTTCAGGGGTACAGGTCTGTGATTCATCAGTCTTACACAATTCACAGCACTCACCATAGCACATGCCCTCCCCAGTGTCCATCACCCAGCCACCCTATCCCTCCCACCCCCCACCACTCCAGCAACCCTCAGTTTGTTTCCTGAGATTAAGAGTCTCTTATGGTTTGTCCCCCTCTCTGGTTTCATCTTGTTTCATTTTTCCCTCCCTTCCCCTATGATCCTCTGTCTTGTTTCTCAAATTCCTCGTATCAGTGAGATCATATGATAATTGTCTTTCTCTGATTGACTTATTTCACTTAGCATAATACCCTCTAGTTCCATCCACATAGTTGCAAATGGCAAGATTTCATTTTTTTGATGGCTGCATAATATTCCATTGTATACATACACCACATCTTCTTTATCCATTCATCTGTTGATGGACATCTAGGCTCTTTCCATAGTTTGGCTGTTGGGGACATTGCTGCTATAAACATTGGGGTGCAGGTGCCGCTTTGGATCACTACATTTGTATCTTTGGGGTACTTGCTGGGTCATAGGGTAGCTCTATTTTTAACTTCTTGAGGAACTTCCATGCTGTTTTCCAGAGGGGCTGCACCAGCTTGCTTTCCCACCAACACTGTAGGAGGGTTCCGCTTTCTCCGCATCCTCGCCAACATCGGTTGTTTCCACACTTGTTAATTTTAGCTATTCTGACAGGTGTGAGGTTGTATCTCATTGAGGTTTTGATTTGGATTTCCTTGATGCCGAGCGATGTTGAGCACTTTTTCATGTGTCTGTTGGCCATTTGGATGTCTTAAAATATCTGTTTATGTCTTCTGCCCCTTTCTTGATTGGATTATTTGTTCTTTGGGTGTTGAGTTTGATAAGTTCTTTATAGATTTTGGATACTAGCCCTTTATCTGATATGTCATTTGCGAATATCTTCTCCCATTCTGTAGGTTGTCTTTTGGTTTTGTTGACTGTTTTCTTTGCTGTGCAAAAGCTTTTTATCTTGATGAAGTCCCAGTAGTTTGTTTTGCCCTTGCTTCCCTTGCCTTTGGCGATGTGTCTAGGAAGAAGTTGCTGCGAGTGAGGTCAAAGAGGTTGCTGCCTGTGTTCTCCTCAAGGATTTTGATGGATTCCTGTCTCACAGTTAGGTCTTTCATCCATTTTGAGTTTATCTCTGTGTATAGTGTAAGGAAATGGTTCTGGTTTCATTCTTCTACATGTGGCCGTCCAGTTTTCTCAGCACCGTTTATTGAAGAGACTGTCCTGTTTCCATTGGATATTCTTCCCTGCTTTGTCGAAGATTAGTTGACCATAGAGCTGAGGGTCCATTTCTGGGCTCTCTATTCTGTTCCATTGATCTGTGTGTCTGTTTTTGTGCCAGTACCATACTGTCTTGATGATTACAGCTTTGTAATAGAGCTCGAAGTCCAGAATTGTGATGCCACCAGCTTTGCTTTTCTTTTTCAATATTCCAAAAGAGGAGGGTTTTAAAATCAAGTTTATGTTTTTGTAGGTTATCACACTACTTAAACATTTAAATTGGCCAATTTTGCAGTGAAATCTTAGTACACTTCAACTAAAAATGAAGACTTAATGAAAATATAAAGTCCAAATTTAGAGCATTGATGAAAGAAATTAAAGACAACACAAGCAAGATAGAAGGATATTCCATACTCATGGGTTGGGAGAAAAATATTGTTAAACGGTGCATACTGCCCAAAGCAGTCTGCAGATTTAATGCAATCCCTATCAAAATACCAATAGCATTTTTCACAGAACTAGAACAAATAATCCTAAATTTGTATGGAACCACAAAAGACCCCGAATAGCCAAAGCAATCTTGAAAAAGAAAAACAAAGCTGGAGGTATCACAATTCTGGACTTCAAGTTATACTACAAAGCTTTGGTAATCAAAACAATATGGTCCTGGCACAAAAATAGACACAGATCAGTGGAACAGGATAGAAAGCCCAGAAACAAACCCACATTTATATGGTTAATCTTTACCAAAAGAGGCAAGAATATGTAATGGGAAAAAGACAAATCTCTTCAACAAAATGGTGTTGGGAAAACTGGACAGCCACAGGCAAAAGAATGAAATTGGACCATTTTCTTCTACCATAGAGAAAAATAAACTCAAAATGCATTAAAGACCTAAATGTGAGACCTGAAACCATAAAAATCCTAGAAGAGAACACAGGCAGTAATTTCTCTGACATTGGCCATAGCAGCATTTTTCTATATAGGTCTCCAGAGGTAAGGGAAATAAAAGCAAAGAATAAAACCCAAATTGTTTTATTGAAGAAAAGATATTTGATTTCTTGCTAGTGATAAAATAGATAATGTTAGCTCTCATTAGCAATGTGAAGGTAAGATTGTGATTTTGAACCTGCCATGAAATTGAACCTAATTGCATTTTTTTTTTTTTTAATTAGTTTGCAGGTCGAAGTAAGAAGGAAACCAAATACTCTCTTAAGGCAGTCGAAGACATGTTGGAAACACTGCAGATCACCCAGTCTTAAGGTTTCAAACTCTTTCACATTACATTTCACGACTGCACAATTGAACTTACTGGCCTGTGACTACTAAATGCCTAGTGCTATTTATATTCTAATTTTTTGTTAAGAGGGCAATTGTAAAGAATGTTTATATAGACCTAAAAATGCCTTTTATTGCTAAGCAGGAAGATGGAGAAAGTCCACGGAAGAGAGATTTAACAAGATTCATATTGATTGTACATCATTCTCTTCATATCACACGTATATAACTTCTTTTAAACCACAACCTGTTGTAGAAATCCCATAAATAAATAATGTGATTTATTAAACTTGCATTTGAAGATTCTAGATTCTTTTTGTTACACTCAAATAGTGAATATGTTGTTTCAGAATTCAGTTTCTAGTTAACTCCTTTTTGTTTGTGATAAGAAATACATAGCATGCATTGCTGACAAGCAAAATGTTGGCAAATTATTTTGATTCTCTTTATAGTGTCAAGTTGGATTTTGCTGTGCATTCCTGTAGGCTATTGTTTTATGTGCTATAATGTTATTCTCATAAATCTTGCTTAATAATGTTCAGTAATATCTCTGTAAAATTTTTGTTTTGCCATAGGACATAATTGAGATTTTTACCAATAAAAAGCTTTAAGGTTCATGTATGCTGTAATGCTATAATGCTATAACCTTTATGAAAGTTAAATTTATTGAACTTTTAAGTATTTTGCATAAAATAATATTAAGAAAACAGACAGTAGGGATGAAAGAGGTTTCAGTAGCTGCGTTATTTTTACTTAGGGAAAATAAGAAAATCTAAACTATGTTTAAGAGCAAAATTTTTACAATTCTCATATTTAATTACCTCCTTGGTAATAATAAGAGCTTCTTTTTCCTTTTTCTCTTTTCATGATAAACAACTGTTATACTACCTTCAACAGTATTTTGCATGTTTCAGTGGAATAGAAAGAACTTTGAGACACTTTGAGAACTTTATTCAGACACAAATCAGTCATTCAGGGCATGTATTGTTAGTAGTAGTTTGTAATTTACATATACAAATTACACGTTCTATGTATCACATACATGTATAATTACTTAATATAAATAGTTTACAATAGTATACAGAAACTCCTGCATACTTGTCATTGATGGATTTAGGCAAATGGGGTTCGTGGAGGACTTGACAACCTGGAAGTCTTTAGGAAGAAAACTATTGTCAGTATCAGTTTTTTAATCTTTTGAATAATTCTGTTAGTATATTATTCTCCATATCTGGTCTCATTCTTTTATTTTGCAGTCTTTTTCATTTTATTCTGCCACGAGAAATGAGCAGATGTGCAATAACTCTCCCCATAGAAAGCTAATTCTTACCAACAAATCTTTGTTATCACAGGATGCACTCTCTTTTGCCAGTGAATTTAGTAACTGCATTTTCAACATAATCAGCCATCTCAGATTTGTTTTCTATAAAGTGCTCAAATATTATTCTACTACTTTCTTATCTCAGTCTCCTATCCGTCACTAGGGTAGTGTTTACTTTAGCAATTATATTTGTGTAAGGTAATGCCTTGTATAACTGTCAGCCTAAGTTTCATTTTATTTTTCTAATTTTAATACCTGCTTGCTAAGAATTTTTTATGAAGTACATTGTTAATGTGTAATTTATAAACTTCAGTTTAAGTGTACTGATCATCCTATTGTGGCAGACATTTGCCAACTGCTTTTACCGCCACTTTTTGCTTGTTAAGGGTATCTTATATTGTTCAGGTAGGAGCAGAAATCCCTGCTCTTCAAGGAGATAAGGACCTTACCTTACCTCAGCCCTAGGATATGTATCGTGATTGATCTAAAACAGAGGTGGTTTCATTTCTTATGGTCTGTGAGATGCCAAAGCAGAACTTTTTTCAGTTAAGGAAATATTCTGTATTTGTGCTCTCCAATATGGTAGCCACTAACTGTAGCTTTTGAGCACTTGAAATATGGCCAGTAGAACTGAGAAATTGAATTTTTAATTTAATTTAATTTTAATTTTAATAGCTACACGTGATTCAGGGCCACCATAGTGGGTAGTGTGCAAATATCTAAGGTATGGGCATACAACCTATTTAAGGCTAATAAAATGAACAGAAGCCTATTGGGAAGGGTCTTCCTTTCAAATTAAAAAGTCAGAGCTTTGTGAAGTGAGGCTTTTTGCCTCTTTCTCCTCCTTCAGGCCATGAGTGTCAACAACATACTTAGAGATACAACACCCATCTTACAACTACGAAACAATAAATAGGAGAATAAAAGCTACTTTTCAGAGATGGCTTTATAGAAAGATTAGAGAGAGCCTGTGTTCCTGATGGCATGTTGAACACCTGAACCAACATGAGCACTTGCCAATCTCTGCACTTATTACATGAGAAAAATAAACTCTTGATTAAGACATTGTTTGGATTTTCTGTTACTTTTGCCATGTATATTTCTGACTAATATATCCATCAGCTTTTTTTTTAGTATGTAAAACTCTTTAAAATTTTGGACATACTGGGAATGGAGTTTCAAAATGTAATGATTTAAAGTTAAGTAGACAAGTACATACAATAAAAAAAGTAATATCTTGTTGCAACTCAGCATACACTATTTAAGCCAACCTTAACCATAGGATAATACTGACTTGGGAGCAGAGGAGGATGTAGAAAAGATAGAAATGGAAAACCAGTGCTTCAGTATGCTGGGAGCATATAATATTTATTGGTAAATATTTCAAAGAATCTTTTTTTTCTGATGCCACAATCCATCTATTCTCAAAATAACTTTATTTTACTTTATTTCATAGAACTGTAGGATTTTAGAAGGGACTTTAAAGATGAATTAGTTACATTCCATTTTAGGATGAGGAATCAAGGTTCTGAGAAATTAAGCTCTTCTGAGAGCAGGACCAGGATGTCAGGGGTTCCCAAGTCAGTGTTCTTTCTAATATACTCTGAGGCATATGCCTATTCTGTGATATGTTCTTCCTATTTTAAAATGAGAAAAATAAGAGATATATCCAAGGGGCATTGCTTGTTAGAGCAGGGATTAGAATTCAGATTTTTCTGACTTGTAAAACAAGTTTTTAGTGGAATAATAAAGTCATAATTTCTTTTTAAAGTCATAATTTCATTTTGAATTAAACTGAACGTAAACTAAATTGACCATTTAAGCTATTACTTCATGTAATCATTATGAGAACTCTTTTAGACTATTTAGAACTACTTTGAACCTCTTTCACTTTGAACCTCTGATGTATCCTATCTCCCTTCTCACTCTTGACAAGTAACCTCTTGTTATAGACTGAATTGTGTCCCCCCAGTATTCGTATGTCAAAATCCTAACCTCCGCTACCTCTGAATGTGATTTTATTTGGAGATAGAGTCTTTAAAGTAATAATTAAGGTAAAATTAGGTCATATGGGTGGGCCGTAATCCGATATGATTGGTATCTTTATAAGAAGAGATTAGGACACAGACAACAGAGGAAAAACCATGGGAAGACAAAGAGGAGATTCCCATCTGCCATCCAAGGAGTGATTCCACAGAAGAAACCAACCCTCCCGACACCTTGATCTGGGACTTCTGGCCTTTAGAACTGTGATGAAATAAATTTCTGTTTTTTAAGACACCCAGTTCTCTGTGTACTTTGTTAAGGCAGCCCTAGCAAACTAATAGAGCCCTCTTACTATTTCACAGAGAAAAACATACCCAGTATCAGACGTTTTTTGTACCTGATTTCACCTCTTTTTCTCTTACAGTAGAAGCAAGTAGCCCTGCCCTTTTCTGAATGATTTCCCACCGTTGTCCCCCTCATTTTTTTATACTTAAGCCTTAGTTTTATGAATTTGCCATACTGCCTTCTACCATAGAGCATCTTGCCTTCCCCAAAATGTCATATCATCTCTTTTCTTCACACTTGTCCTTAAACTATTTTTATTATTTCTTTCTTTCATTTCAACTAAATTCTTCCTATTAACACTCAAATGTGCTCCATTTCATTACCTTTTTGAAATATCTCCCCTCATTTTCACAGTCCACCTCCAGCTACTACCCCATCTCTCTTTTTTTGCGGGGGGAGGGGTTGTTTGTATTTGTGTTTACAGCCTCATTCCTTCAGTTTTCTAAACTTGTATCTGTTCTTCCCCATTCTTTAAATTGCTCCAGTCTGGCACCCCCTTACTCCCACCATATTCCTTTGAAATGGTTTAGTTCTGTGTCACCAATGTGATGGATGTTTTCTGTTTATAGAAACTGTGTTGTGTTTATTTTATGCTGCATTATACGTTTCAGATCTGTCCATTCTATTTCATTTTCATTGCCATCATCACCTGACTCCTGAATTACAACAGTAGCCAGAAAGCTAGATTTCCTATATCTTCACTTCTCAGTCTGTTCCCATTGCAGTTAGAATGTGACTAAACTTCACTAATAATGCCTTTATACCCTCCCCCTCATTAAAACTCTTCAGTTGTTTCCCTTTGTTGCTCTGTACATGGCCTGTGATGTTCTATGTAGTATCAGAACCAGGAAGGATGATTCAGATTCCCTGTTGTAAACTGTCTTCCTCTCCTCTCCCGTCTATTTCTGAATTTAGCCACATTTAAATTCCATGTTAATGCTTTCTTTTCCTACAAACTTGGTACACATTCCCTCCATACAGAACAAAGCCTTCCTTGACTCATTATCTTTCTGAGGTCAGGCCCCTCTATTTTTTTTCTACCTGTATTTTTTAAATAATGTTTTATTTTATAATAATTTGACTCACAAGAAGTTGCAAAAACAGTATGAAATTTCTCTTGCACCAGCTTCTTACTATTATCTTTTTTTTTAAAAGATTTTATTTATTAGAAAGAGGGCACGAGTGTGGGGAGGGATAGAGGGAGAGGCAGACTCCTCGCTGAGAAGGGAGCCTGATGTGGGGCTGAATCCAAGGACCCTGGGATCATGACCTGAGCCAAAGGCAGATGCTTAACTGAGCCACCCAGGGGCCCCTTCCTATTATCTTAACCACAGTATATTGTCAAATCAGGAAATTGACATTGCAATAATACTATTAACTAAGTTACTGGCCTTATTTGGATTTCACAATATTTACATGCTCTTTTTTTTCTGTTTATAAAATGACATATATATGGATCCATGTAATCACCATAAACAAAATCTAGAACCTAACATCACAAACTCATTCTTGCTACTTAATAGTTATACCTTCATCTAACCCTAATGACCGGCATCCACTGATTTTTTTTCCTGTCACTATAAGTTTTAAGAGTGTTGCATCAGTAGAATCATACAACTTATAACCCTTTGAGACTGACTTTT